GGGATAGGCATAAGGCTATCCTAGACTTAAGATAAGGCCAGGGACTAATTAAAAGTATTTTAAAATATTGGGCAGACTAGATGGGCCGAATGGTTCTTATCTGCCGTCACATTCTGTGTTTCTATGTGTACTAAGGAAAGTATCAACCTATCTTTCCTGTAAGTTTTCTTGTAATTGTGTGAGGGGCAAATAAGGCCGTATAGGAAATAAAAGGGAAATAAGTCGGTTGAGGTGTGCCGGAACCAACGTCGCGGTAGGCCTGTAATAAAAGAGGGCCCACCCATGAGGTGTAATGTAAGTATAGATAAAGGGAGTGGAGGGTGGGGACATGCGAGTCGCTAAAAACATACGGGACGGAGGAAGGTGAGTGGGGGTTTAAATAGGTACCATGCCCCTCCCACAACTGCAGGCCAAGCCTTAACATTTGTCCCACCTCTCTTAATATTGTAAAGCGATATGGAATCTGTTGGCGCTATATAAATGGCAATAATAATAATAAAGCTATACCTGATAGAGGCCAGGGGAACCGCTACCCTATTTTTCCATTCCTCAGGAAGAGGTGTGAAGGGCATTATAATTAAGGGGGCTAGAAAACACCCCATTCTCCACCAGTCCCCAAGGGTCCTTTAGCCCCAAATAAAAAGGCCCTACATATCCCATCTTCCTCTAATAAGTGTTAGGAATCCGTGTTACCTAATAAAATAAGGTCTCAGGAATGAGACTTGTCTGTGAATGAACTATATGGTTGGTTGCAATATAAGCTATCTTGAACTAAAAGCTTTTCAAGCCATAATGGATTATTTTGTGTGTTTTTTTTTGTTTTTGTTTTGTTTTTCTATAAATAATTATTTCCTGTTAGTACACTTGCATTGAGGTAAGATGGTGTTATTTGTTTTGTTACATTTTACCATTTAACCCTCAGGCTTATAAAACAGAGAGGGAGGTGATTAGGTTCTTTTCATTTTATTTGGCGGGTGAATTAAGAAGTAAATTTCCACTTACCTCAATTGTTTTCTTGCAGCATCCTACAAATTATACACTTAGAACAGAAAACCCATGGAATGGAAGTACCATGTTATGTATGCTAGAATGTCAAACACTTTTTTCTAACTTCTAAAAGTAGCTCAATATGTGAGATGTTACTTTTTCTGTTTCAAAGGAACACTAAACGCTACACAACTACTACAGAGAAGAGAACTGTAGTGGTTATTGTGCCTGGAGTTTCCTGACTGAGAATTGTAAGGGTTCAAACCTTTTTTTTGGGACTTCTTACCTGGGTTCCTCCATTTGTCACTCCCTGCCTCCTCTACAACTCAGTGAGAGCAGAAAGTGTTCTAGTAAATATACGTGTGTGTTAAAGCAAATGTGTGTCCTTAATATATAATGTATTTATAGACACACACACACACTGCAAAGAAAGAATGACCAGCTCCACGATTAAAATTAAAAACTTACATTTTGAGTTCCTTTATATAAAAAAAAAAAAAAAAATGCATAATGAATTTAAAAATAGATTTCAGGAGAAATTAACATCTAGTTAGCAGAAAAAGATAGAAAAAGGATTCCAGTTGCTTAACAAATATTAAAGAAGACTGTGCACAATGTCAGCAAGCAAGTGGTTAAAATGCAATTTTAACCACAGTCCAACAATTTGCAATATGCGGCCCTGTGCCTTTTCTTTTGGTGCCCCAATTGCTTGGCTATGTCTGCACTTGGGTTGCTATACCCAGTATAGCAGATGGTATCGGCTCACCGCTGCCACCAAGTGTTCAGTCTCATGCAACCCGTGTCAGGACAGTGTAAGCAACCTCGTGTGAACTCTTACCCTGGCCAAGGACAAAAACAAGCAATGAACTAAAATAACAATTAAAAAAAATACAGACTCACAATGGGAAGTGAGGACAATGCTTCTCCTGTGGAACATGTGTTTTCTTACGCAGTCTTCGCCGGTTCTGCTTATGGTTGGTTTTCTCTATACATGTCATTCCTATAAACGCCAATAATGATGTAATAGGACACGAGGGGCATTCAGGTTTACCATCACTATATATCCATGTACATAATTACATTTAATTCTATTTGGAGGTAGAACTGTTAACTAACAATGATCTTGCTCATAAAAAAACATGGAAAAAGCAGCCCAGGTGAAAATTCTACTCCTGTCTTCTTGGTCCAAGCATACCCTGGTACTAGCAGCTCTGCTTCTTCAAAACTAAATTATTTTCGCAACACAAGTCTGTATCAAATCATCAGAGTGGGAGAGAAAGCATGCAGGCATGGTTTGTATCGTATTTCTGACAGATCAAACACTTTCATTTCACCTCTCCCACCAAATCCCTTGGAACTAAACATTAAATTGTGGTAGTAAATCTGTCCCTTAAAAAACCCCACAAAAAACAAACAAACAACGTATGATTGGTTTAGATTAAGCCCTAAACCTTGGACACAGGGATACGAGTTTATCTGCCCTGATTACCCTAGACACTAAGTAACACGTTATTCTGTCACCTATCATGTCCTAGGCTTGTTTACATTTGTTTCAACCCCTTCAGGTCTGAGCTGCCCAGATACTAAAATCAGCAAATCCTAGCCTTGTTTCTATGCAGAGAGCAGATACTGCTTAGAAAATGTTGTTAACCTCATGGAAGCCGAATGGGGCGTGCAATACAATCATAAGCTTGTTTCCAGGCAGTCAAACCATAATCTTACAGCCATGGCTTTTGAGAAGCCAGAAAATAAGGATCAGATCACTGCAGTTTTTTTGTGTGTTTTTTTTTACCAAGCCCCCTCCTCTTACAGCCTCTGGATGCTGGGCGTGTAACTTCAGCAATCTGTAAAGCTTGTTACCATGCTTACTAAATGACAGAATCTTCTACCCCCACCACCCATTGGAAGCGATAGATAGGCACATTTAGGGACATGCTTGTAGCAGGGCAGACCCTGCAATGGAGTGAGGCGCCACGGCATGGGTTAATGTAGGATGCCTGCCTCCCATGCTATGAATAATGGCTACAAGAAGCCTTTGCAATCAGTGCAGACTCTGGAGCTGACCTCAGCCGCCTCGGGTTCAGCGGCGGCAGCAGCCGAGCCTCTCTTCCCTTCCCCCACCTCAGACATCCAGCCAGACGGCACCCACTCCCTCCCTCTTCTGCTGGAGGAGGAGGTGTCTCCTCATTGTGTAAACAAGGCAGGCCCAGGAGCTTGTGCTTCTTCCTATTCCAGTCTGAGGATAGAGCAGACAGGGAGGGCTAATGCAGGGATCCACCTCCACTACAGACTGCCTACTCTTTGCAGCTGCCCTTACCCGCCGCCGCTTGCCGCCTTTCCTTCCTCCCTCTCTCTCTGTGCTTGGCCTGGGGGAAACTTCAACAGGAGGAGCACGTGTGCTGGCGGCTGCTGCTTATAATAGAGGAGACATAGAGTGAACTACTCTGAGCAGTGTGCCAGCAATAGGCAGAACAACTAGACTCGGGGACAATCAGGCTGTTCTAATATACAGGGGTGCTTAGTAATCGAATTAACCATGTGAGCGCCAGAGACATGAACCAGAACTCGTTATCATTTACCATTGCTGCATAATAACGCGCTACATAGGCAAATGTTTCCATTTCTAAAAATACTCTATTTGGGAAGAGTAGGGAAAGGGGCTTGCAGGGCGCTAGGAATGACTCCCCATCCTCACATTGCTGGCCAGTAACCTTGGTTTCAGTGTGTTCCATCCTTAGAATGCAGCAGACAATGTGTGTTACTATGTATGTGGAGTGCCCCTGTGTGCCTGTCGTTACAGTGTATCATTGCTCGGAGAATGAAGGCAAAAGGGGGTGTGACACATCCTGACAGATCACTGGCTCTTCTCGTGGCTGATTTCTCTTGGATCTCTACATTTTAGACAAATATACACAGTTTATGATACATAGTGGAGAAATCAGCGTAAATGTACAATTTATATTCACTGAAAATTCGTAGTTTTGCATGTCTTGTAGAAGCATGTGAAATTTGCTGCACTGGAGATAGACTGAGGGGTATTGTGCGCACACCCCCTTTTGCACGTGTGAATAAAAGAACAGGACTTTGCCTATACAGTACAGCTCGTAACCTAGTGTCCACCTGACACTAATAAGGCCATATAGCCACTTTCCTCATTGACAGTGGAGGGGGGATAAAAGGAAGACCCCCAGCAGTGAAAGGCTGCAGCCGAGTGCTCGTGCAAGTCATTTATTTGTATTTATATAACTATATATACACAGATACAGAGTTAAAAAGATAGAGGTTTATATATCTGGTTATACTCACAGCGGATGTATGTACAGAGTACTGCGGATGGCATGACAGCAGTGATAAACATTAGTCTATCGAGTTCTTATATAAAGAGCTCATGGCTTGTATGGGGATATGCATTTCGTGGGTACCATTCATGACATTAAATGCCCATCTCCTGTACCTTGGAGGGCACCACGTATACTGGCTGAGCTGTGACGTGTGTAATGGGGTAGTATTGAGAGCTCTCCTGCCAGGCTGTGACAGGTATAATTGGATAGTATGGAGCTCTGTTGAGAGCTCCCCTGGCTGAGCTGTGACAGGGATAATGGGATAGTATGGGGCTATATAGTATGGAGCTCTGTTGAAAGCTCCCCTGGCTGAGCTGTGACTGGTACAATGGGATAGTATGGAGCTCTATTGAGAGCTCCCCTGGCCGAGCTGTGACAGGTATAATGAGATAGTGTGGAGCTCTATGGAGAGCTCCTTTAGCCCATACGGTGCCCGTGCAGCGTGCTGCACGCGCTCTCTCCTCTCCCAGCTCTGGCACGAGGAAAGTTTGCTGTGTGAATCGGAATGAGGTCAGCGCTGGAGCTTCTCATTGCACGCGGTGATTATTATTGCATCGCGTTCCCAGCCAATGGGCAGAGCCGGGGCGGGGCTTGGCACGAGGAAGCGTTGGAAACAGCGCCCCATTGGCCGGTACGCGTTCGGGGAAGCGATAAAGCGACGCGAGGCGGAATTGAGGAGAGCTCTGAGCTGCTGCAAGAGAAACAGTTTTAAGAAAAAGAAAAAAAATAAAAAGGGAAAAAAAAGAGGAAAAAGAAGGGGGGGCAGTCAGTCAGGGGACATAAAGCCCTATATACATCCTATACCATATCAGTGTACAGCTGCACCGGCCATGCACTGCATCCTGCCTGGAATAACTGATACAGGATTACACTCACTGCCTGTGTGCCGCTCACATACTCTGTACTGCACAGCACTGACAGACAGGCTGACTGCTGGGATTATTATTACTATTACTATTTTTAATATTTTTTACTGAACATTCTGTTTTTATGAACATTCTCTGGCTCAGTGTTCCCCGAGTGCCCGGACAGTGATGCTTTCCAGTAACGCGCAGTGTGTTCAGTACTGAGCGGAGCCTGCTCGGCGCTGTACCCGGGCTGTACAGGCTGGCCTGAGCCGGGGAGCACACTGTGTGCGGGGATCGCCACGAGCATGGTGCAGCAAAGCAACAACGGAGCCGACAACAGCGAGGCTCTGCTGGCCGGGGAGAGCTCGGACTCCGGGGCCGGGATAGAGCTGGACATGGCATCCTCCCCCACCCCGGGATCCACAGCCTCCACCGGGGGCAAGGCGGACGACCCGAGCTGGTGTAAGACCCCGAGCGGGCACATCAAGAGACCGATGAATGCCTTCATGGTGTGGTCTCAGATCGAGCGGCGGAAGATCATGGAGCAGAGCCCGGACATGCACAATGCCGAGATCTCCAAGCGGCTCGGGAAACGCTGGAAACAGCTCAAAGACAGCGACAAGATCCCCTTTATCCGGGAGGCCGAGCGGCTGCGGCTCAAACACATGGCGGACTACCCGGACTACAAGTACCGGCCCAGGAAGAAGGTGAAGTCCGGCAGCTCCAAGCCCGGGGAGAAGGGCTGCGGCAGCCCGCTGGGGAGCGTGTCTGGGGCCGGACACCCCGGGGGCTGCGGGGCCGGCGGTGGAGCCAAGCCCCCGGGACAGAAGAAGAGCGGCGGCGGGGCCAAGCCGTGCAGCAAGCCGCACAGTAAGCCTGTGCTGGGCGGTAAGAGCCCCCCGGAGCAGCCCTGCATGCTGGACCACCACTCGCTATACAAGTCCCGGACCGCCGCCTCCTCCCGGCACGGAGCCCCGGACAAGAAGCCCAAGCACCGGCTTTACATCTTCAACGCCCCCGGCTACCAGGGCTCCTCTCCGGTAGCCGTGCCCGCCAGCCCGACCCTCAGCAGCGGCTCCACCGAGGCCAGCGACCCGCTCAGCCTGTACGAGGACGGGGCCGGCTCCATGCACGACTCCCCCGGCTCCCCGTCTGAGCACGGCGGCTACCCGACTGCGTCCTCCCCGGCCCCGTCCACCTCTCACTCCTCCTCTTCGGCTGCATCCTCCCCCTCCTCCGCATCCTCCTCCTCCTTCTCCTCATCATCCTCGGCTTCTTCCTCGGACGAGGAGCTGGATGACGAACTGCTGGAACTGAACCCCAGCCCGGGCTTTGAGAGCATGTCCCTGGGCAGCTTCTCGTCCTCCGCCCTGGACAGGGACCTGGACTTTAACTTCGAGCCCGGCTCGGGATCCCACTTCGAGTTCCCGGACTATTGCACGCCCGAGGTGAGTGAGATGATCTCCGGGGACTGGCTGGAGTCCAGCATCTCCAACCTGGTGTTCACCTACTGAGCCAGCCAGCCAGCCGGAGCAGGGTGAGCAGCCAGGGTCCAGGGACAGACAGAGAGAGGGGGCAGGGCACACTCTCTGCTCTACTAAACTGCTTGACTTACTAAGCAAAACACAATTAAAAGGGATTGTTGATTTTAGTAGCCCAGGGAGACAGCACCCCTTCTGTCCTCCCAACCCCATAAAAAGAAAAACCCAGAGAAGCCCTCCTGATTGTACAATTTGCAGACTGGAGAGGTTGAGGAGGATGATGATGAAGGCTCTTCTTGGGGCTCCACACATTGTTGGGTAAAGGAAGATTTGAAACAAATTAAAATGAGACGTAAAGGGAGCCGAGCTGATTGTCAGAGATGTGGGGAGAGGGCACTGAACCAGCCCTTTAAGCATTGTCTACCTCCCCTGTCAGGGGAGACATGGGACTCTTCCCTTCCAGCACCAGGACAAGGCTCTGCCTTCCAGCAGGAGAGGAGAGGAAGGAGCACAAAGCATCAGCTTAATGAAAAACAGAACATGAGACTGACATATTTAAAAGGGCGAAGAGATTCCCCAAAAAACAACCTTCCCCATCACCCCTTGTTTTTTGTTTTTTATTTGGAAACCAGTCGGTGGATCAAGGGGTATTTTTTATTTTGATTTACTATTATTTTTTTGTAGTAGTAACAGGACTGTAATGGATTTGCACGACTAGAGAAGGAAGGTACCCATTGGGTCACCCAGCTTTTTCTTTAGAATCCATCCCTAAAAAGATGGACTTTTTTTATTTTATCAAGGACACTACTTTAAGGAGGAAGGTAGATCTTCTGAACTACACCAAGTTACATATTTATGTGGTACCTGGGGGGTAAAAGGGCGATTCTTTAAAAAAAAACAAAAACAAAAAAAAAAATGTGTTTCTCTTGCTCAGAATCGTGATGGTGTTGATTTCACTGGTGGGTTAATATAGCATGTTATCCTGTCTATCTTTTTAAGATTTCTGTAAGACTGTTGAACAGTTTTAGTGTTAGGGTAATATAAAGCAGATAGATGGCGCTATGTTTGATTCCTACAAAAATCACCAGCTTTTTACTCATTCTTAACTCTTTAAGGATTCAAACGCAACTCAAATCTGTGCTGGACTACAACAATTAATTCAGGACCAAATTTTTCTCAGAGTATGTATGTGTTATTAATCAGTAGTTGTAAATGAAGATACTTTTTTGTTCTCTCATTTGATAATCCATACTGTTTCTCCCCAACCCCTCTTGTAAATGTAATCAGATGCCATTTTATATGTGGACATATTTATACTGGCCAAAATTTTTATGTTAAATCTTTATTTTTATTTTCTTTTTAATTTTGTAGTACTACTCCATCCCACCTTTTTTCTTTTTTCCCTGCACCGTTTTTGTCTCCTTCACTGAAGGGCTAGAGTTTTAACTTTTAAGTTTTTTTTATATTTAAATGTAGACTTTTGACACTTTTAAAAAGAAAGAAGAGAGATGAAAACGTTTGATTATTTTCTCAGTGTATTTTTGTAAAAAATATATAAGGGGGTGTCTAAACTGGTGTCAATCGCTGTTTGATTTTTTTTTTTTTTTTTTTTCTGACAATATTGCAAACAGGGAGGCTGGTTGCTATCTCAAACAAAAATAATAAAGTTTAACCAGCCTAGATTTCCATGTTTACACACTTCAATCTGCAGGCTTTTTAAAGTGACAGCATCCCTTCCAGCCTTGTGCACTCAGCATTCACACCTCCAGAGTATTCATAATACACTGTATATTGGTTGAAAACTACAAAAAAGTCTTTGTATTAATAATCATATGTAGTATTTATATAGCTTTATAACTAATCTTCAGAGTTTTGTTTATTTTGTATAATTTTTTATTTCTATTGTACTGCCTTGGTAGAATCTTGGCGTGCATTCTTCTTTGGCACTGTTATACTCCAACGTGGAGAAAGGAACAATGTTTGAATTGCCTATTTCCAGTAGGTAGGCACAGTGGTGAGACATGGACCCATACACTTTTTTTTTTTTTTTTTAACTAAATACTAGCCTCCTCCTGCTTTAAAATGCTTGCTTTTTCTAATCCTTTTGATGCTGGGGAGCTTCTAGCAAATGCTTGTCCCTTCCAGGGGTTACAAAGCCAGTCTGTATTCCAATGCTTTAAAGCAACCAGTGCACATAATAAGCAAAAAAGGGATCCTGTAGCTTTAACTTCTCGAATACATTTTTTGCACTTTTTTAATAATACAAAAAAAAAAACCCGTGCCGTTTAAACCACTGGATCTATCTAAATGCCGATTTGAGTTCGCGACACTATGTACTGCGTTTTTCATTCTCGTATTTGACTATTTAATCCTTTTTATACTTGTCGCTAAACTATAATTGTTTTAGTCTCTTTTTGGCATGACGATAGCATATGTATTCAGGTTTCTAGCTGTTGTGTTTTTAAGATGAAAAACTGAAGAAAGTGAAAACATCTTTGTACATTTAAGTCTATTATAATAAGCAAAAATGAAAAAAAAAATGTGTGTTTATGTATGTAATTCAATGACAGGCACTAGAAGTTCTACCTATTGAGGTAGTTCTGTTTTAAGATAACATTTTCTTAAATTTTTTTTTAATTGTTTTTTAAAAAAAATAAAATAATCCATCCTGTGCAATATGCCGTACAAAATAATTTTGTCTAACCATCAGGCCACAAAACAAAGATTTGAGGCATAAATCATGCCAGCTAATGTCTATTTCACTGCCTGTCAGATTGTTGATATACTTCTGTAAATAACTTTTTTTTTTTTTTTTTAAAGGAAATAAACTCAGCTGGAACTGAACCCTTAAATCTGATTGGCTTTGTCATTCTTCTGTTCTTGTATATAGCTTCTGTCTTTCTTCTGAGTTATGTGACTTGTGCAGGGGTGGAGCTACAGCTTTAGATTTCAGTATTGGTCCTTGAGTTTAGAAAAAAAAATGGCATCCAAAATGTAACGTGGTAACAATGTTACTTATATTCTGAACACGTACAGTGAAAGTAGGGAAATAAAAATGTTGGCAGGCTATTCTTCCAAGTAATGAGTGAGTATCACAGCTTGTTCTGCTGTCTAGGAAATTTCGAGGAATGCAGTAGAAAGGCGAACAACCTCCAGTTAAACACTGAATTAAGGGATTTTTAAACTTTTTTTTTTTTTTGTGATGCAAGTAATGCAAATTAAGCTAATATTTCTAATTATAAAATAAATTATGCAGCGATTTTTAAAAAGGGAATACATTAAATCTAACTGCTTGTTATTATCTGTTAAAATCACAATTTTCAAAATTTTCAGTACATTTAAAAAGCATTGTTTTATGATACTCGATATATCACTCGATATATTTTAGAGAATAGAAAATGTTACTAGGCAGGTTTGCCAAGAAAGAGCAGGGAACCTAGTCAGAAGGAATGACACTGCATCTCCCATCTGGAGATCATTTCACGTATAAGCCCTTCCCCACTGCCTCCTGAGAAGCCTCATCAGACATTTGTCATCTCTGCCTGACCTTGGTGTCTGCAGATGCAGTTTGGGGCCCCCATGCCTCTGAAAACCAGCAATGGGATCTGGACAAGGCATGAATTGCTTGTCACTTGTGCATCAGCACGTTTGTGATTTTTGCAAAAGTACATCATGGCTATCGCCACACACAATAAAAAGAAACACATCACTTAGTTTGCATGGCACCAACAGAACCTGCAGTATATTCAACAGTTATGTTCTTAGATTGGTCCTCCAAAACATATTTTGTTTCTGAATGGAAACTAAGCCATCCACACACATGTGGTGTTTTGTTAGTTCTTAAATAACATAAATACAAAATTGTAGAAAAGGTGCACGGCCTGAGCTTCAAGACAGATTAAAAAAAAAATCATAATGAGTCTACTGTTATGAAAGTAAAGTGTTACAATTATAAACTGCAAGGTCTCGGATAATTCTGGAGACTGAAGTGTGCAAATTTTTTTATTTTTTTTTAACTGCAGTGAGATCATTACAAAAGGTAGAACTACTTAAAAGAAAGTAAGAATTCTAATCAAGAATGCTTGCAATTCAGTGATCAGAAACTTAAGTTACAATCACAGGGGGATAATTGATGGAGAATAGAGGTCAAAAGGTGGCGTGAATGCATGCAATAGGCCCAACAGCTGCTATACATCCATTATGGTTAAGGCACCATCCTCAAAAGCAGAACTAAAAGGGATTTACAGGCAAAGTGAAGCAGGGGTTCATTATTTGTCATGTTCCACTTAAAACTGCATAAAACAATGTGTGTGCATATTTTGTTAAAAAATGTGTCCATGTGTTCAAATCATTATAAGTTTCACTCCAAGGGATACAAAAATGGCTGTATTTATCTATGCTTTTTACTTTATTCACCAAAGACTGAATTGTAGAGAATAATAAAAAATAAAGAGCAGATTTTGAAAATTCTCCATCTTGGCTACAGTTACAGATTTTTTTTAAATTTTTTTTATTTTATTGTTTATTTTTTAGATTTAGCACAATGTTGTATTTAGTAAATAACATTCTTTATTTTTGTAACTACCAAGATAGTGGGTATTCCTAGTAACTGAAGAAGTGGCCTTAGTTTAATAGTAAGATGTGTCACCTCCTATCTATTGAAGGTGGCTGAACTCACCTTTGTGTATGTTGAACTATTGTCATCCAGATGTTTTTGGAATAGAACTCCCATTGATCTCTACCATTTATAGGCTGTGGGGAATTATGGAAGTCTTAGTGTAACAATATCTAACAGTGGTTGCATTAAACCCTGAAATATATTAATTTATTTAAACATTAAGCATAGTTTTAACGCAAATGTGAGAATGACCAAAGTCAGAGGTTCTTATCACTTCCAGACATCACAGAAGTTGCAGTTCTACAACAGCTGGTCCTCTACCTGTTAGCGTTACCTGACATGTTTATCCATAAACAGTGAATTGTAAAAATAATTGCAAAATTCAGACCAAAATAACCAAGCTGCATAGTTTGTATACTCAACAATTAATTATAGAGAATGTAAAACCTTTATTCAAAATGCAGGCCAAATTGGCTCCTATAAACATTTTCTAAGAACTGTAGGCATTGTTTGGCTATTGTAGCCTGAATTTTGCAAATTGTCTCTCAGTTCACTGCAATTCACAGTTTAGTGAATAAAGCTGTGTGACTTAAGCTATTGAAATGTTTTTCCAAGCTGATATTTTATTCTGGGCTTTACATATTTTTTTTTAAACTCAGAGGGTTTTGCCCCACTCTGCAATTTGGCGTTCAATACACTACATGTTGATGGTTAGTGAATAAACACCAGAGTGTTGGGGGTGGGGATTATATTATCATTTGTAATTTTTAAAGCAATCTAATAAAATGGGAAGTCAAATGACACAAGGGAACTTGCATTCATAGTGATCATCCTGGTCCTTTCATTTAGATATATTTTTGAGAAGATTGCCTTTTCAATATTCTGATCATAAAGCAACACAAGTAGACAGAACATTCTGGCAAAGGTTCATACAAAAAGGTCTTGTTCGTAGAGTTGTGTCTGGACCATTTCCGTGGCAAAATGATGTCATCATAGCTGACTATCAACAATCTGTGCTATTTACGTTTTATCTAATTCCTTCTTCTAGTTGGACATGGTGCAAGTTATTTGATCTAAGTAATATTCTCCAAACAAATAATTTATCAACATATACCAGTATTACAGCAGGAGACAGGAAGTGGAAGAAGCAATTTTACATATTTCAGACTTCTGTTTGTATATATATTTTGGAAAAAAAACTTTTTAGTATGCACACACGACAATCTCTGTTTAGTTAACCCTTTAGTTCTGCTGAATGCATTTCAAAACATTGTAGTCTGGCACCCAAAGGATTAAATGGAGGCCAAGCCATGACCTGTTTTAAGTGAAATGCTTTTTAGCTTGAAAAGGATAACTTAAGTTCATAAGATGGTAAACACAATTAGATCAATCGATGTACATGTTGTTTTTAAAAATTTGGAAAACGTGTATGCAACTGATGAAACTGCCACAGCCTGACAAAATAACCCTACTATTTTACAGAAAAGTCCTAACTTGCAGTCTAATTATTAACAAAAGCTCTTTCTCACGCTTCAAACATAGTGATACTAATATGTTGCTAGGCCCTCCCCAGAAATAACTAGTAGCTAGTGAATGTGTATTAATTGCTTGCTTGGAAGACAGGGAGAGACATGCCTTTGTATAGAATTCTTACCTCTGCAGTCTGTGATCACAATTCAGTGCTAGGAGAGGGAAAAGAGGGGAAAACACAGTCATGTCTCTAAAATGTAAAACATACAGACAGGCAGACATTACAAACCACTGCTGGGAGGACAGCAACAAATCTAGTTGCAGCAACATGGGAATCATGCAGGGAGTCTATTAATTAATCTGAATCAGACATTTTAAAAGGGAATGCCTAACTGTAGCATGTGTTTGTACATTTTATATCTTATACTGTACATGTAAATTATATGTATTCAAAGTGCTGTATATTGTAGGGAATGTGCCTTTAATATGCAATAATACAATATAAACATACACCCAAAGTTTCCCTATTTAGGAAGGACATTACCTGTTTTGGGCCCAAATCTTTTTGTGCATCTTTTCTCTCCTAATGTCCCTCTTTTCTAGAAGCTACATATTAGTGTGTCTGAGTGTATAACAGAGCTCCACAGCAATAATACTCATGGTAATGTGCATTTAAACTACAATAAATGTGTTTGGAAATCAGTCTGTGTAAATACGATACATTGTTCTAGTTCTAAAATATATTTCATTGTTTTTGAAAATTGTTAATAGGATACCTAAGATTGCTCAGGACAATACGTCGCTGATAACACTCACAAACCTAAATCAGTCTCCCTTTTTTAAATGTTGGGTCCCTCTTTGTCATTTTAAAATGACTTACATGAATTTGCATATTGAGGCACTTTCAAATGTGTGTGTGTACAATTTTAAGAGTCTTGCCTTTTTTTGTTTTAGCCCGTTGGAGAGTTTATGGTCCCAAAAGTGCCCTGTTGACCTCCAACCATTGACCTGCTTAACCATTTCAAAACTGTTGAAGACTTACATGAGTTCTGCTGGGCACCAGCAGCCCCTCCTTCTGGGGTCTTCTTAAAGGATAAGCAGGGCTATGCAGGACTGTGCTCAGTAGCTGCAAGCATTAGCTGAGCACCCTCAGCCAATTTAGCATGGTACTGAACCACCTTGCTTTAGCTTAGTAAGGGGAAACTTCATTACCTAAATACAAAATAATTAAAAGTCATTGTTTAATAGGTAAATCTAAAAAAAACTAAATCTGTAGTTCTCTTATCTTTTGCATTTGCAAACCCTGTCCTTCTATCCCCGCCCAGACTATCTGTTGCTGTCCAATCACAGATTTCCAAATGCAGCTCTGTGAGAAATCTTTGCAAGGCATGTGCTCTGAGCTATTGCTGCCTCTTCAGTATAGCTCCACTGAGCTAACGAAACCAGGAAGTAACAGAAATGGTTGTCTGCTTGAAAGCCAAGTGAGCATAACCAGGTTGATTCATAAAAGTGTTAATTTCTTTTGAAATCTACACATTTTGCAAAATGAAAAAAAAGAGGATACCATCTTCACACTTAATGCTTTTCAGCAAGTTAAAGTTTTTTAGGGGTCTGCAGTGTCCCTTTAAGCCATCCAACTTGCCTTGCAGGAGAAGAACTGATGCCATAGGTGCTCAGGCCACCCAGGTAAAAAACAACAACATTTTAACAAATTGCCCCGGGAGGGTGCCAGGGCAGGCTGTAGTGGTCATGGTGCTAGAGTGTTCCTTTAATTGGACCATTTAATATCTTGGTTATATGCTGATTGGCTGCTTGATGTATATTCACCCAGTCAAGCTGTTCTACAAGCAGACCCGGAGGGTTTTGTTACGCTTTATTGTCTTTGTCCAACCATCCCTCGTGGGATGGAGACCAAATCCACTTCCCATCCTCCACCTCCAAAACATGATTAAGAAACTCTAAAGCTCTTCATTAATAATTCCACTTAGACTATTATTAGTTATTATTATAGAACTGTAAAAATTAGAAATATCAATGTATACATCCTCATAAAATATTTTCTAAATATATAATTATTAAAAGTGTTTATATAGTGCCAACATACTCTGCAGTAATTTACAATATAAATGTGGTGATATAACAGCAAATATGAAACAAACTATGTGAAATGTTAATAGGGAAAGAAGTTATTAAAGGACCACTCTAGGCACCCAGACCACTTCAGCTTAATGAAGTGGTCTGGGTGCCAGGTCCAGCTAGGCTTAACCCATTCTTTTATAAACATAGCAGTTTCAGAGAAACTACTATGTTTATGAATGGGTTAAGCCTTCCCCCAAAGCCTCAATGAGACAGCCGCTAGAGGCGCTTGCGTGATTCTCACTGTGAAAATCACAGTGAGAGCACGCAAGCGTCCATAGGAAAGCATTGATAATGCTTTCCTATGCGACCGGCTGAATGCGCGCACAGCTCCTGCCGCGCGTGCGCATTCAACCGACGGGGAGGAACGGAGGAGGATCAGAGGCAGAGAGCTCCCCGCCCAGCGCTGGAAAAAGGTAAGTTTTTACCCCTTTCCCCCTTCCAGAGCTGGGCGGGAGGGGGTCCCTGAGGGTGGGGGCACCCTCAGGGCACTATAGTGCCAGGAAAACGAGTATGTTTTCCTGGCACTATAGTGGTCCTTTAAGGACTCTGCTGAAAGGAGCTTACAATCTAAGTGCATGTCTACTAAAGAAACAATGAAGCACCATAACCACTAAAACACACATTCTCCCTTTAAAGTATAACTTTTTTTCTGTAAGATTTCTGTAAGGTAAAAATTTTACCTTTACATTATAAACAGCACCATGACCTCTTTAGTGATTTGAAGTGGTTAAGGTGCTTGGAGTCTGAATGTGCAGCGTTTTAGTTTTAAATGCTGCAAAAGAGCTAAAGCAGTTAGATGCCAGAGCTGTAACTTCCCCTCCGGTAACGCCATTAACTTGGCTATTGTCAATACGCATAGCATGTTGGCGACTGACAACCAATATCAGCATACATACCCCTTATTCGTGGCACCAAGTTCTCTATCCTTCCTGATATCCCTCCAAGTGCAGTGAGATGCAGTGACGTCACCAGAGGAGGATCGAGCCTCCGGGAGACGTTAGCCCCATAGCAAGATCTAATGTCATTTTTACCTTTTTTCAGTTTTTTTTTTTTATCAGTTATGTTTACATCAGAACAACTAGATTAAATATTTATTTAATATTAATTTTATATATGTTATTGAAATATAGAAGCATAAGTTGTTTCTAATAGTGTAACCATGCCATATTGTACTGAAAACCTTTCAATGAAAAGTTATTTAAAAAGAAAAATGATTTGCACAGTTTTAGACAGTACTATATGAGC